TGGGGCAGAGCAGTCCCAGACCCTGTGACAGGGCTGTCTTCATCCTGGCTGGGCACAGCCCCTAGACCACCTTTCTCTCGACTACAGTCCCAGAAGTACTTCCCCAACCAGAACCCTTGGGGACACCCACGGTGTCAGCCCAGTGTCAGCAGGCAGAAGAGGCAGGAGCCAGGGTCCTCCCAGGGCCTCCTGCATAGCAAACAGCTGCTCCCAGCACAGGGCAGGACTGGGAAGGTGCAGACCCACTCCAAGGGACACTGCCTAACCAGGCTTCAGGGTGCAGTTGGCCTTGGATGGAGTCAGATCCCACACCAATTTTTCCACTTTGATCCTTGTGTTCCTGTCTCCTGAGTGCTCCTCTCACCATTTTGAGTGTGGTGAAGGAGCCTTGGGACAGGAGCCTGCCTTCCAGATGAAAGGTCCCAGGACCACCCTGCAGCCCCCAGGCCAGAAGCTGGGCCCCAGAAATTCAGAACAGGATTTCTGCATGACTTCAACCTGCCATAATGGAAGCCTCTGGAAAAGCACCACCCATGTCCTGGAAGGCGGATGTCCTTGCCCCTCCCTGCTCTGCCCAAACTAATCTGCAGCAACACAGGGCTGGTCCAGTGGTTCTCAAGCCTGCCCCAAGGGCATCCACCCACCCAAGGCCACATGCCTGGCAGCACTGGCTCTCAGCCATGTGTGTGAAGTGTGGTGGGGAGGGCTTGCAGCAGCCTCCTGGTGCCTCTGGTAGGCATCTCCCTCCCCAGGGATGCAGCTCACTTCAGTGCACCCCAAACTTGCCTAGCCCTAGGCAGTTCAAGACGCAGGTCATAAATAAGCCTGCCCTGCAGGCAATTCCCAAGGTCTGGCAGGAGCTGCAGACCTGTGTGTTTAAGAGGTGCCTCGGTCAGGAGTGTTCAGGAAGGCCTGGAAATGCTGCTTTGGGTGACAAAGCAATTACCACCGCAGGAAATGAAAGTTCTAGAAAGGGTGGTGTGGAGGGTCAGTCGCACCAGCTCCTCCCCTGGTAGCACCCAGGTGGCCCAGGAAACATCACCGAGTGCCAAGCCAGCTCCCAGAACAGCATAGCGTGGCTGGTATCAAGAACAGTAAGGACAAAGTGCAGAACAGCCGGAGGTGGGTGGCCACAGAGCACACCTTACCAGGACCCCGGATTGGGGCAGGTTGTCACAGAGGGGTTGTGTGCCTTTGGCAAGGTCTCTAACATTTCTGGGCATGTGTCTCTATCCATAGGCCCCAAAGTTAGGTTTCTGGCTGACTCCCAAGGGCCTGCCGTCCAGGGCTGCCCCTCAGCTGCCCTGTACGTGCCGAGCCCAGGGTGGGCTGTGGTGTCGGAAAGGCCTCTGCAGTGTGGCCTGGGGAAGACAAATCCTGGGATGTTCATGTCCAGCTGGAGAGGTCACACCCGTCTGGGAGGGAGGCAAAGGCCAGCAGTCCATGTGGGGGCTGAGAGTGAGGGCCCCACGTGGGACATGGGTGGGCACTGAGTCTGAACGCTGTGGTCGAGGTCAGCATTTCAGTAGCAGGGGCTCAGCCCAGGCAGCCAGGCGCCCAGGTCTTACAGGAAGCTTTATGTGTCCATCACTCTCCTTACCTCTAAAACTGCACTTCAGAATGCATTGTTTTTCTTGTCGGCCAAAAAACCCAAAACACCTTATGGGAGGCCATTTGTGACCGTGCACAAGCACAGGCACACCTGTGTTCCGCAGCGGTGAGTTCACAGCACACAAGTGCTGGGCACAGAGCAGGTGTGGCTGCCTCACCTCACACGGTTCAGAGCCCAGCTGGCAGAACGTCCTGCAAAAGTGGTGGCTAGGCAGGGGGCGCCAGGACACAGACCTGCCCTGGGAAGCAGCTGAGGCTCCAGGGAGACATGCAGCCTGCCTCTGGCGCCAGGCCGGCCCTGAGGGCATATGAGAAGATGGGCCTGTGGGTCTGGAGTTAGATCGATGATGGCAGTCACCATAAAGACGGCCCAAGGACGGGAGTCATGAGGGAGCAGACAATACGGACAGGAGGAACTAGCAGGCCAGCTGGCAGTGTGCATTCTGCTAGGCAAGGAGGAGCAGGCTTTAATGGGGGATAGAAGGGTGGGGAGCAAGCATCCCCACACAGGGTGGGTTGGAGGAGATCAGAGAGGAGGCAGCACCCAGCCAGAAAGCAGCAGTGGCAGGGGGCAGAAAAGAGACATGTCCACTGGCCAGCTGACAGGCTATCGGTGAGCCAGGAGGGGAGGAAGAGCAAGGAGGCTGTCCATAGCCTGTGGACAGGTGAGGGAGAGCTGGGGACGTGCAGACCCAGCAGAGACAGGCTGTGCACGTGTCTGTCAGGCCTTCACAGAGGCCATGCTCTACCCAAGGTGAGTTTCTCAGCATCTAGAAAGAACCAGAGAGCTCACCTGCTTCCTAGGGGCCAGATGGCATGGGAGTGGGGTGAGGACACTGTTGTGACACTGAGTCAGCATGTATGAAGCAAAGCTTGAGGGTGGAGGGCAGGTCCCTAGGGGCAGGCTGTAGCCGCAAGACAGTGCTAGGGTAGGGCTCCACAGGGGCGTCTGAGCCTGAGAGACCCCTGGCCAGGGAGATGCAACGGCCCGACTTCCCTTCTCTTCAGATCAGACCTTACTGAGTTAGACTGGACAGTGCTCTTGACATTTCAGTTTCAAAACAACACTTTGCAGCAGGCACTTGACAAGCAGCTCCTGAGTGACAGGCAGGGGGACCTGGTAACAGCTGAATCCCTAGCCCCTGGTGAGGCCAGTGCTCTGAGTGGCCCACTTTAACATCAGCGTTTTCAAGATCTGAGACAAGCTTCTTGCAGCGAGCCCGGGGACTAGGAGCCCCGAGGGCCGCAGGGAGCCCTCATGGGTGAGGGCAGGGCCTCCCGTCGCCTGGCCCTGGCGCTCGCCTGCCTCTGTCCGGCTCGAAGGGTTCTCACTCTGGCCCCCTGACTCCCTCGCAGGAGACGGCTCTTCCAGAAGCGCTGAGCTGAAGAAACGATGTGAGGACCTGGAGGCCCAGCTGAAGGCCAAGGAAGACGAGAACAGGCAGCTGCTGGAGGAGCTGGGGCAGAAGAGCGCCCTGATGGCAGTGCTGGAAAACACCCTCAAGGAGCGGGAGAAGAAGTACCTGGAGGAGCTGAAGGTGAAGAGCCACAAGCTGAGCCTGCTGTCGGCCGAGCTGGAGCAGCGCGCCAGCACCGTGGCGTACCTGACCGCGCAGCTGCACGCTGCCAAGAAGAGGCTCCTGAGCTCCAGTGGCACCTCGGACACCAGCCCAGCTGGAGGCACCCCACTAGCCAGCTACAAGCCCGCACCCCCCAAAGACAAGCTGCCCGAGACACCGCGCCGCCGCATGAAGAAGAGCCTCTCCACTCCGCTGCACCCCGAGTTCGAGGAGGTCTACAGACTGGGGGCCGAGAGCCGCAAACTCCTCCTGCGCGAGCCTGTGGACGCCATGCCCGACCCCACCCCGTTCCTGCTGGCCCGGGAGGCGGCCGAGGTCCAGCTCATCAAGGAGCGGCCGCTGGTCATCCCACCCATTGCCTCGGACCGCGCGGCAGGCGGGCAGCACAGCCCAGCCCGCGAGAAGCCGCACAAGGCCCATGTCGGGGTGGCCCATCGCATCCACCATGCCAGCCCCCCACAGCCCCAGCCCGAGGTGGAGACGCTGGCCGTGGACCAGGTGAACGGAGGCAAGGCAGTGCGGAAGCACTCAGGGACGGACAGAACTGTGTGACTGTGGCCCGCACTGTCCACGCACCATGAGCACCACAGGGAACCCCACCGCACCTTTTTCTTTACCTCCCACGCATGCCAAATTGTTTTCAGACCTGTCCACCAACTCTCCTGCTCCTCCTGCCCCACGCTGCAGACACCACAATACGACCGTGTCCCTGCTGCAGAATGCATAATCTACTAATGCTGTGGCCACCACCCACGTGCCCAGCCGCTTGCTTCCAAGCCCAATCCGTGTCGTCCAGGCGCACTCGTGGACAGGCACCGGCCACAGGATGCACACTGCACCACGTCCTCAGAGCAGACGGGCACATGCCTGAGTGTACAGCCAGCAACGCACAGCGACCTCGACCACCCTCCAGGGCAGCCTGTGGAGCAGCCGCTCCCTCTGGAGACCCCGCACCTCTCTCCTCCTCCCCCGGGCGGCACTTGTCACCGAGCAGCTGTATGTAGATGTCCAAAGGAACTAAATAAGATGACGTTGCTCTTCATGTCACCGCAACCTGAATGTGTGTTCATATTTTTTGTTAGTCTTACCCAAAATGTTCCAGACCCCAACAAACTTTATTTTCTAAACCTGCTTTCCTTCTGTTCTGTGTCTTTTATTAAACCACCTGGGGGAGGGCCGGGAGGGAGCCCGGGTGGGGGAAGAGAGTGCCCATGGTTAAGGATAGCCATCCTGCTGCCTGGTGCCAGTCCCTAGAGTTCTGGAGAAGCTACTTTTGCCTTTCGTCCAACTAGCTGTCAGCCACCCCTCCCCTGGTGGAAAAAGCAAAGCTTCTCCAGCTGGGCCTGGAGCCAGCCTCTTGGGCCCAGAAGGAAGGGGCACCAATGGCCGCTGGTCCTGGAGGTGCTAAGTCTGCACCCAGCCGTGCACAGACCCAGTGGGTTGGGCAAGGAGCTCAACAGCCCCACAGACCCAGCAGGCAAGAGGGCGCTGGAGGGGGGAGATGGCCGCAGGTGACTGGCCGTCACACACTGGGTGTCATGTGCATCAGCTCACAGGGGCACTGCCTGACCCTCAATAGCTTCAGCCCTCTGGGCTGACACCTCTGAGAGGAGCCCCTGCTTGGTCAGAAGCCCCTGTGGGGGTCAAATGAGGGGCTAACTCTGGCTCTTAGGGTGGACTTTCTCAATACAGAGAATCCTTTAAAAAGCAATTTGGGGCTGGGGCAGGGGCTCGGGGGTGGAGCATTTGCCTAGCCCGTGAGGCCCTGGGCTGAATCCATAGCACTGCATATAAATAAATAAAGGTCCATTGGCAACTAAAAACAAATATGTATATATTTTTAAAAGCAATTTAAAAAATACAACCATTGAGTTAATTTAATGGAAAAAGATTCAAATACTGATTTTAAATGAAAGGAAAATCAGGGTCATCCTCCCTGCCCCCAAGGCCCCCCAAGGAACGATAGGACTGAGGGCTCTTCAGGGAGCAGCAGCACTCAAGACCAAAACTCACGCATTGCCCTGGTTTCCTTCACCCCAGGGTTAGTCACTATTCAGGGTGAGGCAGACCCCCTGCAGCACCCAGTGAGAAATGTGCCTGGTGGTAAAGAGGTCAGCCTCGAAGACCAGGCCGACCCCCATGGCGTTCCTTCTCATGGAGGTGGTGTAGACGGGCGTCCGGAAGGTGTTCTGCAAGGGAAGGGCAGGTGAGCAGTCATGGAGGAGGAAGCTCAGGGCCGGAGAGAGGTTCAAAGCTGGGACCTGGCCCAGGCCACATAGGGGCTCTTGCAGCCCAACCAGATGCAACTACTTCCTGCCTCAGTGTCTGCAGAATTTCACAGGAAGAGAGGAAGGTGTCCCCATACCTCAGGTCTGAACTGCAGCCTGACACCTGTGCCCGTGGCTGTTATCAGGTCCCCAAGGCTTCCCCAACCCCACAGAGGTTTCCAAAGGCCTGACTGTGGAAAGCACCTCATCTACCCCCAGGTCAGAAGGGAAGGTGCTGGAGAAGTAGGAAGGCTTCACCTGCAGCTTCAGGCGGTGCACCTCAATGGGGATGATCTTCAGGATGGGCAGGTCCACAACCAGCACCTTGGGTTTGCTCTTGATCAGACATCCCCTTTCTATGTCCCAGTCAGCACCTTCTAGGTATAGTCCCGAGACAAAGCACCCTGGAGACAGTAGGGACAGGTCCAGATAAACAAGGAGGCCTCCGCCACCCTGCCAGTGGCCACTCCAGTGGCCACTCAGGTGGAACAGGCACACAACCTCTGCCCCACCTCCTCACACATGCCTGGAACACAGCCAGGCCTTTCTCCATCACCTCTGCCCTGCCTGCCTGCCTTTGTAAGAGGAACAGTGGGCCACAAAGGAGTGGGCACAGGGTGGGCACGCAGCCTCAGACCACCATGGGTGCTCAGGCTGCAGAGTTGGGTAGCACCTCGTCAGAGCTGGCAACCCAGCTCCTGGTGAGCCACAGCGGCCAGGGAGCCGCAGAGAAAGTGCTCTCTGGGGTGGCAGGCACATGAAGAAGACAATCCTTTGGCCCCAGAGAGTGGCAGCCAGATACGTGCCTTGCCTCTGAGCCCTGGCTGGGCTTCTGCTGCTGCCACCTAGGAGCTGCACCTTAAACCCCTCTCATGAAGCGGCAAGCGGGGTTCACTCCTTGTAGTTAAATGGCCTCTGGCCAAGACCCCAGGGAAATGTGATCTTAGCTATTATTTTCATAGCAGTACTCAATGTCTTAGGGATCTGAAATCATGGTATAATATAATGGTTCCAACAGTTAGCCCATACTGCCCTCTGGCTCCCCCCATCCCTGGCCCCCTGGAGGTTTACAGGGAAGCCACCCAGTGACCTTTGCAAGAACTAATTCTGACCTAGGGAGCTCCTTTCCCACAGGCTAGCATCGCATCCAGGCCTCCCCTGACATTAGCTCCACGGCTCTCAGGGACACAGGTACTGGCCCTCCTGGGCAGCAGGAAAGAGCACACGGACACAGCGATTTTTAAACATGGCCAGCCCATCGTGCCCCACACTGCAACTGCCCTTTGAATTCTGGGTGGCTCTGAGGGAGAAACCCCAAATAAGAGGCCAAGAATCCCTAGCAAGCCAACCGTACCTTGTCCTGCCCGCTCATTCACCTCTTCTGCATCTTGGAACTTGGTCACTTGTGTGAACAGGGTGGACCGGTCTAGCGGCCAGCCATTCTTCCGGCAGGTGGCCTGCACCAGGGCTGTGAGGTAGGACTCTGGGATTTGCAGTCCTGACAGCCACATCACAGGGGGCTCACCCTCATTGACCTGGAGAGAAACAGGCAAGTGGTAGGAGCCAGGGCCACTGCCAGACGCCAGGGTCAGAGCTGGTCATGGAGGGTCAGCACAAGATAAAAGATGTATTCCACCTTGGCAGCAAATTGGCGGTGCTGGCTTTGGTGGCCCACTGGGGAAAGGAGCTGGACCGTCACGTTCCAGGTGGGTTCAAACAGAGCCACAGAAGGACCCAATCAATCTCCAGTAAGGTTCTCATCATCTTCAGGTGGGGAGCCCCAAGCCCAGGCACCATTATAGGCCACTGAGGTTTGACCACCTGAAAACCTAAAACTCTTCTGTGGAAAGGGTGCCACAGTCAAAGTCAAAAGGCTCTGGACGAGCTGGAGGAGCACGTACAACCTGGCGCCCAGAGGCCAACTCCTCTGATCCACAAGGAGCCCTTCAACACCAGCAGAAAAGATGGAGTCCTCAGGAACAGGATAACTGAGAACCAAAACACAGCCCAAGAAAAATAAACGCAGACTGTGCAGAAACTCGTAAGATACACTCAGCCCACCACAGCTAGAGAAATGCAGAACAAGACAATCCACCGCAGTTTTCACCTGTCAGGGAGGCAGAGACCCAAAATATAGGTGGCTTCCCCTCCTCTAGAAAACCTCCTGACCACCAAAACCTGAAGGCACAGTCCTCAACCCTTCCCCCGCTGGAATGGACTCGTGAATACACTGGTGAGAGCATTCACAGACGTGTGCGCCAGCATGTTGCACAAACACACCACCAGAAACACATGGGAAGTGACCACCTTGACGCCCATCGGAAGGAGAGCGGATGCCAAATATCCGTGAGGCGTGATGCCTCAGTTCCCAAAAAAGAGCCAGTGGGATTAGGGTGTGCTGGGCCAGAACGAGGCTCAAGGCTCACCCAAGACAGGGTGCCCAAGCGAGCAAGGGATGCTTCAGAGTCAAAGACGACGCAGGAAAAGAGCCCCACGTGCTTGTGGGACCCAAGGACATTCCTGTGGCAATATTAACTCCTGCAGAGGTTGCTTCTGGGGAGAAGGGTGGGGAGGCGGCTGAGGGAGGCAGGGTGGCTCCCACTTACCCACAGCGTGTACTGGCTGAACCGCCGCAGGAAATAGATCATCCAGTTCCCCAGGGACTTCAAGGTGTCCGGGGCCAGCTTCCTCCAGATATTAGGGATATGCCCAATAAAAAGAGACCTGGCGACATCATCTAGCTCATTGCTCATTCCAACCTCTCCAGCCAGGGCCTGTTGCGGAATCGAGAGCAACAGGCAGACTGCAGCAGAGATGCAGGAGCTGCAGGCCAACATCTGGGCACACGGGGAGCAGCGCTCACCCTCTGAAGCTCTGCCAGAGACTTGCTCATCCTCGTCACGAGCTTGTTGAAGCGCCCCAGCTCCTGCAAGAGCACCACCGCGGTGGGCGTGATCCCTACACCCAGGTACTTCCGGATCTGGTCCAAGTCAAACACCTTGGGCATCTTGTTTTGGATGTCCTTGGCCACCTGGCTGATGTAATCGTCGCGGCTGATGCCACTGCTGGATTCCCCTAAAAACCAGGACACATTTAGGAAAGCAAGCCATCTGGGTGGAGGAAGGCACGTCCCAAGCCCGCTAGTTCTTGGGAAGGCATCAGCCATGTGGGGAAGCTAAAAAAACCAACCAGGAGCCCTGAGCAGACGCCCAGGCCCTGACCAAGTTAAGGAACCCCCAGAGCTCACTTACCCGTCTGTGGCTGCAGCTCCAGCAGGTGGGCCCACATGTCCCGAGCCGCCTGTGTGTAATACCCAATCTCGGCATTGGAATGAAGGCCAAACACCTCAGGTGTGTTGGCAAGCGGGAGCGCCTCGATGGCTTCTGGAACCCCAGAGAACGGAGGTGTACTGTCACCTGCCCTTGGTTCCCAAGGGCCCACAGCACCCAAGTTCCCAGACAAGCAAGACTAATTTCCACGACTGAGTGGACCATGTGTTTTTAAGTAAAAATTCCAAACCAGTGGGCACAGAAGTTCTCTGTTACAGAAATGAGCTGTGAGCTTCCCAGGGCCGCTCTGTCCTTCCGGGTGGAATCAGTGACTGCCTCTGCAGGCTAGGAAAGGCCCTCTGGGCTCCTAACAGGCTGAACAGACCCCCACCTGACCAGCCAGGATGCCCCACCTCTGTCCTGGTCCAAAAAGCCGCCAAGACGACCTTAGGAAAGACAACTGATGGAATTTAGGGTCTCCCCAAAAAAGCTTTAAAAATAGCTTTCATATCTGAGAAATCTCACCAACAAATTTGTCCTTCACATCACCAACAGGGATTTTGTAGTCCACCTCCTTGTTCCGGAAGAAGTGGAAGGGCTGGAAAGTGTCAAAAATGAAGTCTCCCAGGTACTCGTCCATATAGGTGGTCAGAATGCGACGGTCAAAGCTGTCGATGGCGCGTCCTCCATACATGACCTGCGGCCAGAGCCCGTGAGCTTGGGGGATGCACATCCCACTGCTGCACCTGGGCTCCTGGCTCCAGGGGCCACTGGCTTGCCACAGTGAAGACCCACTCGGCCCCATGAGTCTCCTGCAAGCCCGGCCCCTGTGCAGCTCCAGCCCATGGGTGCAGAGGGTTTGTCTGCAAGACGTGCAGTACCCCCTGACTTCCCAAGGGGGGGAGCATCCTCAGGAAGGGCTGGACCAGTATGTCCCTGACAGAGTCCCCAACGCACATCAGACAAACGGAAAAAAAGAAAGCAGCCACTGTGTCTTCAGCATTGGGGCCACTGTCTGAACCAAGTACAGGCCACCAAGACAGCTTCCCAGCCACTCCTGGAGGGCCATGGTTTCCAGAGCCCAGAGCCCAGGACAAAGGTGCCCGTGCTGTGCCCAGGTGTGGCTAGCAGAGCACTGCTGACTCCTTGAGGAAGCCTGGCATGAGCCCCGGGCCATGAATCTAGCTCAGGAAACCCCCACGTGACTGGAGGTCACCCAAGACAGAACAGCTTGGTGGCGAGTGGGGGTATTTCACGAGGACCTTAGGGGAGGGGAGCAGAAGCAGGAAGGGATTATCCAGGGCTCCCGGCTGCTTCCCCAGGAGCTCCTACCTCCCCGATCAGGTACTTGAGGCTGCCCCAAGGGATCCGAGGGTCCTGCTGCTGGAAGGCTTTTGTTAAATATGTGTTCAGAATTTCCATGCAGACCTTGAGAGAAAAGGAACAGGAGGTCACAGTAAACCAACAAGGCCTCGAACGGAGCCCAGACGGCTGAACAGCCCGCGTGGGCCAGCCCGGGAGCAGGGGCAGGAGCCACAGCCCCGCACGCTTGCCTGGAAGTCAGACTCGTTGAAGTCATAGGACACGTTCCAGCCGATCTTCCCGAACTTCCTCCTCTCCTGCACCACGGCGTGGAAGAAGGCCAGCACGTAGACCAGGGGCTTGAAGGCCGTGTGCGGGCACTGCTCCAGCATCTCGGGCGAGATCTTGAAGTACGTTGCCCGCATGTTCAGTTTGAGCCCATTGGGTGGCTCCGTGACAACCTGCAGAAAGGACGAGGAGGCAGACGCAGACGGAAGTCATGGACCCGTGGACGCAGCTCTGAAGAGGGGGGCAAGCCAGAGGTCATGACTTGTCCTCCTCCCCTCACAGCAAGTCCCTCGCTCGTCCAGGGCCCAGGCGGAGAAGGTGCAGGACAGGAGCTGGTGGAGAAGCCCACCCCACTCCCCCTGAACCCCAGATCCTCAGCTGTCAGAATGAAAGGTCTTGCCTCCACCTGCCCCAGAGAGGGAGATGACGAGACCTCCCTGAGAATAAATCCACCAGGTGCATAAACCACCGAGACCTCCCGCCACTGCTGGGCCCTGCAGACTGCAGTGGTCTGTCCTCAGAGATACAGAAGAGCTTCAGGACACATGAGGCTCGTGACAGCCACCAGACACCACCAGAGCATTTGCAGGGTGGGTCAGGGAGGCCGGTCACAAGCCCCACCTCCAGCACTTCCTCTGGAGAGGCAGAGATGGGGCCAGAGATGGGGCACCCGAGCACCCCCCAGTAGACGGGCAGCCCTCTGCCTGTCCTGCAGACCTTTAAGGACTTCTGCAGGATCCCAATGGGGAAGTCCCTGGTAGGGTCAGTGGTGAGCCACAAGCGGAAGTCCGGGTGGGGCTTGGTGATCCTCTCCAGGGACTTCTCCAGCTCTTTCAGCCACTTGACCAGAAGGTGGCAGTTCTGCAGCATCAGCCACTGCCCACGAGCCACCGCTGTCTCCAGCAGCTGCAGGGCCACCTGCACAGAGGGAGCGGGAGGGGAGGGTGGGCGTCCCAGAGCCACCAACTCTGCCCACAGGCAAGGGGTGCCCACTCTACAGAGGCCAGCGGAGCCAGCGATACCAGAGCAGCTGTTGGAGACTCTATCTCCTTGGGGTTTCCTGCAGCCACAGCCTGCGGGTCAGTGAGCGCCCCCATAGCCCTCATGGCCTCCTCAGCCACAGAGCTCCAGCTTCCCACACAGCTGCACCTGGAACTCCCTGAGCAGACGCCAAGCTCTACCACCCGCCAAGATGGGCATGGCCCTGGGTAGAGAACAACCCCAGAGCTTCCCAGGAGGAGTTCAGAGGGAAAGCAAGCCCCCCACTCAATAAAATCTTGGTTTTTGAAATGACTTCAAACTGACGTGAGGGCTGACCTTAAAATCGCTTCCATTGGTGGGTAGCGCCCACGGCTCCTGACACTGTCACCTCACAAGGGCGTCCAGCAGCAGAAACATTTGCCAGAGCCTCGCAGACAGACCACAGCAGAGCTGGGACCTCATGTGTGACCACCATGCTCACCCTCCAGCTCCGTCCCATGCTGCACTGCACTTATGGGGCAAGTTCTAACTGGGTGTGATGTGGTACAGGACCCAGCAAAGACTGAAGCAAAGCAAACTCAAGGCCCAGTGCGGTCCTGGGCACGGCACCCCTCACCCACTTCCTTAGCCAGGCATCACAACAATCCTGAACCCCAGGGGTCATGGCAGGGATCCAGGGAGAGAATGAGTGTGAGAAGGCTCTGACAACAGCAGAGGGCAGGGTCTCTTAAGGAGGCAGGATTGCAGCTATTCATGTGGTCACCTTCCAGCACTCCATCTCTGCCCTGTGGTGGGAAACCATCAACCCAGGTGCGGAGGGGGCTCTCAGCTTACATCCCTAAAGGAGGCCAGGATCTCACCTAAACTGCCCTTGTCCCTTCCAACCACAGATTACCTTTTCTTGACCTTGACCCATTGCGAGAAATTTGAGGCGGTTTCCTCCAAAACCAGTCCTCTCGGCTAGTTTCATGAGGTCGCTGGCAGGGTCGGAGCCAGGACTCAGGATAAACACAATGGGCGACATGGGCGTGCTCTGCTCAAAAATGCTTTCAAAGCTGATCATCGGGGGCTGCACATACCTGGGGAAAGAAACGAAATTGAAAAACCCTCCCGGAGGGCAGCCCAGGGCCAGGGTTCACCCATCTGATCAGTGCCATCTCTCCCAGAGTCCAGAACCTTCTGACTATTGCATGGTCCTGGTTTGAGAATCTAGTTTTTACAAGCGTCTCCATGGTGGATGGTAAACTCCTGGGGACAGGGGCTTCCC